CTTATTATGTAGCATCAGCCACTATCTGTATATGAACTGTTATTCCTCATTTTACAAATGAGGAAAAGGAGGCCCAGAGATGTTAAGACACTTGTCCAAGATCTCACTGCTATTAGATGGAAGAGACTAAAAGTAAGTTTGACTCTAAGGATCAAGTGCTTAATTCACACTATACTACTATGCACTTGTTTTGGAATAAAAAGGGGTCGTTTAAGAGGCCTTATGTAACAGCCAAGCAACGAGAAATAAATAATTAGAAAAGGTGACAGAAATTCTACATAATTTTTTTTTTTTTTTTTGGTACCGGGGATCGAACTCGGGCCCTTGTGCTTGCAAGGCAGGTAGCAGAACCACTGAGCTAAATCCCCGGCCCTTACATAAATTTTTATTAACCACTTACCTCATATAAGGCACTGGTAGTGGTGACAAGAGGAAGGAAATTTGTGGTAAGAATCTATCTTCAATTCTGGATTTTCAGATTTCAGGCTGGAAAAAACTCTGGTCTACGCAAATGTATCATCTTTACGTGATAGGAATGCTTCTGATCTATCTCAGAAGAAGGTACTTGGAATTATTATTCAGTTCCGAATTACATGTTCATTATAGTACCACAGTGGCCCTTCATAAAAATTCAGTATTTCAACTCTAAATTTGAGTCAGATAGGTATAAGTGATTCTCCTGTACTAGCCAGTTCCTCAAAATACCCAGTGAGGCCATTAAAGTGCTTGTCTACCAATCATTAACTAGTACAGGTGGCAGAATAAATGTATTCTGTGTCAAGGGCAACTAAAGATCTACATGAGTCTCTGTATCAAAACATCCTTTATAGACACTTTCCAAGAGCATATTGGGTAACACACTGAATCCAAATAACACCCTCCTGATAAGACAAAAGGTACCTACCTGTAATCTTGACAGTATAGGATCTAGACAATGAGATTTTTCTGTTAAAAGCATAATGTCTAAAGGAACTTGGAACTAATTCAGAAACTAGAGTGTAACTACATCAAACTGAGAAAAAGGAGACCTGTAACTGAGAGAGCTTAAAAATAGGAGCTTCTGGACTAGAATGTAGCTCAGTGGTATGCCTAACATGCTATGGGCCCTAGGTCTGATTCCCTATACCCACAAGAGGATCTTCTCAGACCTCTGACCAAAACAGCTGCTGCCCTAAAGAAAATCAGGAGATAAGTCATGCTGTGAAGAAGGTAAGAAACAGGCAACTTATCTAATCTCTTCTCATTGATTCTGATGAGTACTGGTGTAAAATCTGTAAAATGGTACTATGAATTCATCCTCAGATGACTCCAAAAAAAAAAAAAAAAGAGCATCTTATACTTCTGCTATCAAATAAACAGCTAGGCAGTACTCACTGGGGCTCTGCTTTGCTAATCCTTAAAATGAATTAGTGTTACACATGCTTTAATCAAGTAAGGTATATCCTACAAGCAAACTTTCTTTGGTATTATTCTTTACTGTGGTAAAAGTCTGATTGAGTTTCTAGATCCAGTGGATCTAGAATTAATGTATCAGTGGGGAAAAGTCCTCCCCCAAATCTTGAGAAGTTTAGAAAACAGACAATGTTCTGAGATAGGCATTCTGATTGAATGGTTGAAGAATTGAGAAACATGTCTACTGCAGGAGGTTTCATCAACAAATTAGGGATTTGGTTTTACTCTATTAAAAAAGAATTAATTTAACATTAAGTTCTAAATTTCCAAGGACAGTTATCACCTCTGCAAAGCATAGCAACAGAAAAAGAGGGATAAATACCAAGTGATGGTGGGGAACTAGATTACTCATTTGGTTTGATTAATAATTGCCAACATTAAACAGGGTTCTTCAGTTTACAATGTATTCTTGCCCTTACTACACAATAATTTTTCCTCAAGTTTTCTTACACATTATTTAAAATCACCATTAAGTTGTGAACAACCCTTACCATATGAACATGCTATATCTATTAACGTGTTCTCATGAAAACTTAAATTTTGTCAGGAAAAGGTGTCTTCCTGAGGAATTGGCGTGTATTATTTCCCATGACTGCAAAGGAAACTATAAGTATCCTTTCTCTGTTTGTTTGGATGTGCAGAGTTGTCTGTGACAAACAACTTCAGCAAATATATTAGCCCTCAAGGCTAACAATATTTCCTCCTAATTTCTATAGTTATGACTCCCTATTTATGCACTGTACTTATGTCCGTTACAAACTACCTCAAATGCTCCTTTGTAAGGAGAATGGATGTTTTAAAATACTTTTGCATTTTGACTCCCTATCTCCATCTGTTCCAAACAACTGGCACTTATTTGGTCAATGAGGAAACTAAGGCATAGAAGCTGTCTGTCTGCTTAAGGGGACTTTTGTCTGCTTTAGTTGGCTTCTTGAAAGCCAGATATCTCAAGTCTTGAATTAAACCAGCAAGTTCTGTTATACACACTGTGGTGCACTCCAAGAGCACACAAAATTGAACTGAGTCATGATTATGGTTGAAGAATTCAGTTATGTATACTTTTAATTGATGGGTATCTATTCTACCTCAAGGCAAACAAAGTGAATAAGGCTGACCAGAAAGTAATACTAGGATCTGATCCGACTGAGAACCATTAAGGTCACCCTGAGGTAACCTATATCCTCTGGCACCAGGAATGTCCTCAATTCCTGAGAGGCCTCAGGGATTGGAATGATCCAAGGATTATGTTGTCTACAGCCAGCCTGGAATTCTCATAGGTAAAGCACTGTACCATCTGCAGAGGCCTTTCTCACATTCCATATCATGCCAGGCTAATTTTTTTCCTCTTATTTTCCCCCCACTTTCCCACATTACCAACCCATGGCAGAAGTACAAAAGTGACTAAGACATAATGTCCAAATCAGCTGAAATTCTGAAAAACAGATTATTTAGGGCTTACAATGTGACCTTGACTAGTCTTCAACTGATCCATTAACTAAATAAATGCTTTTTATCATCACTAGGGAAGGATAATTAGTCATCAAAAAGCAGTTCAGTACAAGTGCTACGTAATTGCTACACAATAAAGCTAAGAAAGAACAAAGATTAATAACATGGGGACACATTTATCAGCAAGTGGAAACTTACAACAGGGTCTTTCACACTTCTGACAGAGACTTACTTCTTTTAGCTAATGGAATATGAGTCAAGTCTTAGCACTTGGCCTCACAATAATATACATTAGCAACATTCCTTCTGAGAAGAGGGGAAAAGGGATATTTATTCCTGGTAGACAGCTATTCAGATATCTCTTACTGGTTAGCCATATAAGCAATTAATATTTGAGTACCTACTACAATACACATGAGATACAGAGCTAAACATAATAAATATAATTGTGAACTCCCTGCCTTTCTTCTGGGCGTTCATAATCTACACAACAGACTTTGCCTTATCAATTCTGGCATTTCAAGAATATAGGCTTTCTAAAAATCAAGTAATAAAAAAGAAGCTTAACTAGACAAAAGATGGGGCAATAGGGAAAGTAAGAGTTGGGGGCATTTCTCACTTTCCCCCACATCATCTGAGGTACTACCCTTAAACATTCTGCTGATAAGGATTATAACTCTTCTCCAAAGAACAGTGAAGGGTAAAAACCTTAACAAAGCAGTCAGATGAACCAAGAGCACTAAAAATAAGGACAACGGGACTCCTTAGGATCAAAGGATCTTCCACAATCTTCTAAAGGCATTGTTGGTAAAAATCTTAATTTTTTTGAGAAAAAAGACTAAACTACACAATGATGACTTGCCTTTTTAGTCTTGCACTTGATTTCTGTAGTGTTAGATTAGCTGCCTTAAAAAAAAAAACAAAAGAAAAGACCCAGCCATCTCTTCCACTCAAGACAGCGTACCTAGTTCAGGTGTAAGAGCTTCAAGGACTGTGACTGTTCCTTCAAACCTTGCTTCGTTCAGCTTACAATCCCTGAATCCCACTAAACAATGCAGGCAGGGAGTTTTAAAACACCATCTTTATACAGGAGGGAAATACTTGTTTGGGTTCTCACTAGCTTTAGAAAGTTCACTTCTCTGCAAACGTTCGTCAGCCTACTGCTAACTGGGTGCCAGGTATGTGGAAAGTCAAAATGTGGGCGGTTGCCAGTAAATGATCAGAAAGAGCTAGGATCCCAATTCTACCACTCAGAGAGCTAGTTTAAAACCTCCAGAGGTTGCCATTTCCAAGAGAAATTAGAAGGGTATCCTTTGAGCTCAACCCACTGCACAATACACGAAACTTTTTCTGTCTTGATAAGTACAGTGAAGAATGAGCAATCGTTCCCTACCACCCACCCCTCCAACCCACCCAAGCTCCTTTCTGGAGGAATGTCTAAGTGATCTATTCACATGATTCTAAGAATCGACCTCCAGCCATGATGGTGTCTCCTGTCACCAACCTCCAACTGACCATTTCTTACACACGTTTAAGTATCTGCAAGACCTTACGTGAAAATCAATTTGCTTTTCAATCTCATGTTGCCCACCTGCATAAAGAGCTGGTTTTACGCATTCTTTTTTCTCTTGCCTCTAAGCTATCACGCAGTCGTGGGATAAAACGGTCACTGCTCCCAAAGAGCTGCCTGAAGCAGCTCTGCCAGATTTCCTCAATCACCTTAGGGGAGACTTTTCTGTATATTCTCATCCCCTGGTCAGGTCACAGGGTCAGATGAGTTGGTGTACCCCCTGCTACCCACGTCTTCAAGGCCCTTCATCCAGGAAGAGTCAGTTGCAAATTTAAGGCCTGCCGCTGTCGGATTTTAAAAAGATTCCGGAGAACTCGGGGCGAAGGACAAAGGAAAGCGAGGTCGGGGGGTCCTCTTCAGCTCGGGATAGGCCAGGGGCTGTTCACCCGCCACGCCACTTTAGTCGTCCTCGATCACCCCAAGCCCTAGCCCCCGAAGTCCCGAACTGCCCGGGCCCGGGCAAGGCTTGCTCGCGCCCCTTCCGTGAGGCCGGAGCCCCGTCCCCCGCCGCCACCCAGAGTCCCCGCACCTTCTTGGGCGCCTTGGTGACGGTGGCCATGAAGGAGTACTTCTCGGCGTCCTCGATCTCCTTGGCCTGTTTCAGCTCCTCCCCGACCCCGGGCAGCGGCATCGCGTCAGGCATCGAC